TGATGAATTCCGATACGTAATACAATTATAAAACCTCTGACTCAATCGACCATAAATTGTAATACACTTGACGTAAAGTACTCCTGAAGGCACTGAAGGTAGAATAAAATAAAAAAAATATATTATACCTACTACGTACATTTTTAAAACTAATATTTTATCCCATCAAATGATTAAAAATAAATTATTAAATTTTTCTATGTTTTTGAGATATTTTTTAACTTAAAGTTTATGATTTTACTCAAAAGAGAATAAAATAATTTAGTTTTGATTAAAAGTTTATAAAAAAAAATACTCATTTATAGGTATATTTTGTAAGTTAATAATTTAAGTTAATTTGTTTTTATAAATGTATTTATGAATTGTATTAAATTCATTTATTTTTACAACTAGGTAACAAATTTTCAAAAATATTATTGAACAAAATTTAAATTTAATTTATTATATGTTTTGTTATTAGTTTGTATATTAAAAATATAAATACCAATAATGAAAATGAAATGTTGTTTATAGTTTTAATATAATTTTGAACTCGACATTAATAGCGTATTATATAATATATAATATGTTATATTTATAATACTGTTTGAATTATTATAATGAATTTAAAGTAAACAATACATACGTATTATTATATTTAAAATACGATTATTAGTGCATTTTAGTTTCTTCGTTATAAATTTTTAATGGAATTGCTCCTATTCGAGCAATCTTTAAAAAAAGTATAAAGGATATGAGTCTGTAACAAAAAAAATATGTCTGCATCACCACTTCAAAATGTATTTTTATTTTACTTTGCTATAGGTTAGTCATTAAGTAGTTCAATAACTTTTATGTTTAATATGTTTTTCTAACCGTATAACTATATGCATTTATAAACATTAAACATAGTAGGTATATGTTTGGTACCTAACCTAACCTATAGCTGGAAGAGATGACATATTGCAATTATGTTTTTAATATTATAATAATATTATATTAAACTTAAAATTTTTAACTGCGATGTAACAAGTGTTTTATTTTGTATTTGTTTTTATTATTTATAATAATATCATTAATAACGGTTAAATATAAATTAGTTTATCTCTATGATTATAATTTTGCAATATACTTAAATTAATATATTAATAACTATTTGAATAAAAAAACATATAGTATTTAGATTTTTAATTCAGTCTTATGGAGTAGTTAAGTGTTACAACAAATATTTTAATGTAACATTTAAAAAAATCATGATTCCATAACTATAACAAAATGTATTTAGAATAAGAGTACTTCTTTTAAAATACAGCAATTAAGTTGAAGACTTGTTTGAATTACATTGAAAGTGTTAAATATTGAGTTACATATACTACTTACTAGTTGAAACGTACTTTAGAAATTAGAAAAACTTTTTATTACTTTTGACATTGAGGTTAAATTMAATTATAAAATTTAACTTTTTATACTAATTCCAAACCTGAGCGTCAAAAATCACATTATATAATCATGAAAATGGATTTTAATCATCAAAACTACAAACATTTTTACTTCCATTTTAAGTCCAGAGTTTTGTCAAATTGAATAACGTACTTATAATGCATTAGCGTAAAGGTGTTTTTAAGTTATTATGTTTTTGTAGCTCCGTTTTTTATGATTTTCTCAATTTATTAAAGTTGATATAACTTATCGAAATTTCTTTCAACAAAATGTTGATTCACTTGTGTCGTGTTGATGATAACAAGGCGTAACGACGACTTAAACTTTACATAATAAATTGGCAACACATTTATAAATTGTACCTACCTCCATGCGATATGCTGCTCAAGATTATAACAATCACATATAGTGCATTAAATTACTATTCAAATTTTAACATAACAAGAAAAACGGAGTGTAGGCTCTTTATAGTAATACGCCAAACGTGTCATTTTAAATTCATAATTTAATTGGATACAAACTTTCGGCGTACGTTCACGAAACTTATATATGTATATGATATATATAAGATGTTACAAAATATATTTCTTATTTTTACACCTATATTCGTTAAACACGTGACCTAAGTCACTCATCCACGCGTGTATTTTTAGATAGACGTATCTGACATGCAACTAAGCGTACTGTAGCCTATACAAGTTATTAAAGTTATTTAATTATTATATATATATAGTTACCGACAAACCGTCATATTTGTSTGCATTATTCCAGCTAATAATCTGACTAATCATTATTGTGTATATATATAATATATATTTTATGAGGTTAAATTAAATTAATTTGTGGGGCAAATGAGGAGGTGAATAAAAATCTTAATCCGTCGTTTCAAAACTATATGATACATTTCTGGTAATCTGGTATTTTTCGTTAAACGGGAAAATTAACGTATGTGGGCTCACATGATATTATTGAAATTTATTTTCTTTGCCGTCATCTCGTTAACTCGATATTTTGAACAGCAGTTGGTATACGTCACTATATAAAATATTTGGATAAGCTAAAAGATACGCCAAAGGGAAGTACGCATACACACACTCCTACCTTCATCGAAATCGTGTGTGTCATTAATCCCTTGCATCGACAAGCTTTGTGATGTATGTATATGTTTAGTGTATAGTTATATAATATCTTGTATCAAATCACAACAAACGTCAAATCAGAAAACCAATTGATACGGATTTTTACAAGTGCCTACATCATAATATAATATTATTTTTATTCAATTATAATAAAATAAAAAAAGTGTAAACATGAATGTTGGAATGTTTCAAACGGAATTTGTGGCCGATTTTCATTTGTAATGACTGTAATTGTAGACTGTAATAACACTAAGATTACACCTGATAACTTTAATAATCAAAACTGTTTTTAAATTACACTGTATGATTTATGAGTTTGGAGTAGGAATAAAACATATCAAATTATGAATGTATTAGTGATAATCGTTTTATATATATAGGTACTTTATAGTTTCACAATTCTAGTTATTAATTAATTATTTAAAATTAACTAAACTACCTATACCAACTAATATAATCTAGTTATATTTCAATCTCATTTTTTTATATTGTTATTATTGTTATCTATATATTATTATTAATGCTTCATAATTGTGTTAAAAAATATTAATGTTTATAGCCAATAACCTTTGTTGTTGAGGCTTAATTAAAATTTAAAAAAAATTAAAAATTAAAGTTATATTTATAACTCCGTATATTAAATTATAATATGTAAATATACATATTTTATTTATTAACTATTGAAATAAATTATTACTAGAAAAAGTATTAAATTATATTCGTATGTCAATTTTTTTTTTTTGCCTACTATAATGGATTGTGTTGTTTGCTTGTATTACAAAATATATTAAATATAATTTTCATACAGTTAAAAAATCAGTATGTATATTCAATATTATAGTATATTATATTATTTTATGAGATCAATACAAATTTAATTTCAATGAATCAATCCGAAGACTTCACTATCTTCTTTCCTGGTAGGTACACTTGAAATTTATTTTGTGACTGACCACCACAGTATGTTAATAGACATTTCAATTTGATATTTTCGTTAGTTTAATTAAAAATGAAAAGTTAAAGATAAAAGTTTAAAGTAATTTCTTTGTCTAGTTTAGCACAAATTATTCTAGTRATAATATTAAACTTCTTTTATATATGTGCTRGTTTAAATAACAGGACCCAAACTTTAACCCTTTCTGTGTTCTCATGAAATGGAATTCAATGAAATACATGTGTTGAGGATTGTAGGGTAGTATTCTGGTGTTTATTTAATGTTGAAAAATAACTGTATCTATATTGTTTTTCAATCTTATCATTATTTGTCTGTATAATTGTCAAACGTAATTTAATAAAATCTTGATTAATTTTAGGAAAATTTTGAAATATTTATAAATAAACTTACTTGAATATTTCTGATGACCTTTTTATCATTAATATTAAAAATGTACCTATATTTAATAAAAATAATTTAAATATATAAAAAAGGAATAACAAAGTTTCTCATCTTTCGTGATATTTTTATTCGTCTATTTAATATCTTTATCGAAGACCTATATTACGTTAAGCTACATTCACAAATTCTAAACAAACTTCTACAGTGATTTAAATTTAGAACAATCAATTTTGAGAGAGAGCAACACATAATAGTCTTAAACGAAAGTTTCCAAAAACCCTTAATGCATACAACCATAAAACACATAAACTTTTGTTTTGTTATGAAGACTGACTTTACTTCTCAAACACAAATTTCAATGTATACATATTAAATATAACTACATTTATAAATTATAATACATGCTGTATTCATAATCAACCAACTATCGAAATCGAATACTTCCATCACACATCTGAATACATACTACCTGTAACTAAGATAACAAATCATTCTAACACAGACCTATAGATGCAAAATTCACGATTTATAATCGTTCGCATATAACATTAATTAGGTACATTATTTTCTATGTGTGTACAATATAATTTATAATGCTGTTTATAAAATTACTAATAGGTATAAAATTATATTATGTCTCATACAAGAGTTATTTTTAAATTTATCATTAAATTTTTAATTTTTTCACTATCCATAAACCACGAGTATAGTCTGCATACCAGTAGATATCAATAAAATATAAAAAATTAAATTAAATCAAATATCATGTAATTAAATATCACATATAATATTATATTAGTATAATATTATACTATAATATTAATATTATAATAATACAGGAACTATAATGAGTTATTTTAATATCTACAGGAGGCTTCAAGACAGGACTTGAGATTAATGTGAAAATCCAATAAAGATAAAAAAAATACGTATTTTTAGTTTTTACCTAATACGGTACTTTAGATTAGCGAAACACGCAAATATCACCAGCCAGATAGCGACGATGGGCCACCATTATGGGTATATAAAATAAATAATTGATGTTACGAAAATTTCAAAAATACTATATAAGACAATATGCGTTGTAATCATATGTATATACTCACAGGAGGATGCAAAGTGTCACAGCTCTTAAATACCGTTATCTGGTTGAAAATGAGACATGTAACATGCGGACGGCGCGAATCGGATATGCGTCGTGGTTACGAGCGATTACGGTGCGCTTTTCACGAACATTTTCCTTGTCGCGGTGTATGGGGACAACTGAAAAGCCGCGCGGCACACGATACTCGGTCAGCGTACCATGGCGATGCATTTTGCGCCCCCGCGGCATCGAGAACGCAAGCGTAGTAATCATCTCAAACGCCGTCGACCCTCCATGGTTTTACCATTTGGTCTTTAAAAAAAACCTGCAGGTAGGCGCGAAAAGCGAATAGTTACGAAAAAAGTTTTATTTTTATTTATTAAAGCATCTGGCGTGTGCAAATTTGATGACATAAAAAAAAACAAGTTTAAAGAGTTATTAAATTGCACCACCAAGACATATTTAATATATATATATATATATATATATATATACTGATTTTTTTTTAACGCATCAGTATTTTACAGATAAATGTTATAAATATTTAAAATTAGTATATATGGGAGGTGATTCATTAGTAATTTTTTAATGAAGTAACACCAATCATAATTGTGGTTAAAACTAAATATCAATTAAAGTTACTGTGTTATGCATCACTGTATTATACTTCCAAACCAACTCTGTAAGTCTGTGGCGGAMAAGCATGCCAAACTAGCCATATCCAGTAAAGTTGCAACCATTCTTGACATAATTCTTTACGACGACTTTAAATCCCACATCAATTCACTCCTTCGTAAAAAAATGGCATCTCTCCTGGAATAGTATGACTAATAAACTAAATAGGATAAAAACACATCATTTAGATGGGACCCAAATATAACACGAAAAGAAGAGATTATTGAKAATAGGCCCATCAGACTCGCCCACGGATTCCTTATGGCAAAAGAAGATCACCCTATATGCCAAGCATGCAGTTATCATCTCACTGTGAAACACATAATGACAATAATAATTAAAATGTATTTTTTGTTTACAATAATAAGAAATTACCTATGCTGTTTTAAATTTAAACTAACGTTTAATCTCCTCATGTGAGTAATATGCACAGTAATGCAGTAATTGTACATAGCGATCAGAAGGCGATTATTTTGGTTACGATTTAATTTCATCGTTCTCGTTCAACAGACATTATAGTTATTCAAAGGAATAGGTCTCGAACTTGGTCTGTGAAAAAAAAGTTTGATTTCAAATCCAAGGATTCGAGTTAGTGAATCTGTGCCTTAGGGTATGAAATTTCTGGATGCGGCACTGTACGTATAACTCTAGTGATGAGCGATAGAAAGACGTTAAAATATATTCTAACCAAGCACATAAAACTATAGGATCAATAACTTAGTCTTAATTTACAAAAATGTATATGTTTATTTAGTTACCGTATACGTGAATCAAGTAAATTTATTCATATATTAATTCGAGTTATCGAATATTAAACATTAATCAAACAATAATTCTTAGTTATTCTGTGATTAGGTTATTATAAGTAATTTGTTTAAAAGAATTGTTATTTTTTTAATCTACAAAAGCTAACAGAATCTATTAAAATAGTCACAAAAATTTAAATAGAATTACACTTTAATATAGTAGTATTATGTATTATTATAATACTATTATATTATTACTACAAGTTTCAACACTAATAACCCGTGGCGTAATCAGAGGGTGCAGTGTAGCCACAAAGTAGTTGTACATAAATACACRCTTTTAGATAAATTTCAAATTTCTAACCCTCTGTATTACGCGCGTGCGCAATGCAACTTATTTTTTTTTAATAGCATCAAGTATTTTTGATGCCAAATTTGGATAGAATGATTTTTTTAAGTCATTTTGACCAATTGTCCATGGCTCTAAAACCAAAATTGATTGAATGAGAGCCATTTAAATTTTAATAAATAATACATTTTTACAATTCATTATAAAATGCATAAAACCAATTATAATTATTTATTATTGGTTACTTTTTGAATATATTTTTTTTATATATACATGTTATAAATAAGATTAACATAATATGGATATAAAATTATTTAATTAAAATTGATTGCAACTGTATACGTAAAAATATTCAAAAAGTAATCAATAATAAATAATTATAAATGGTTTTATGCATTTTATAATGAATTGTAAAAATGTATTATTTATTAAAATTTRAATGGCTMTCATTCAGTCAATTTTGGTTTTAGAGCCATAGTTAATTGGTCAAAATGACTTTAAAAAAATCAATCTATTCGAATTTGGTATCAAAAATACCATTTGCTATTTTAAAAAATTAAGTTGCATTGCACATGCACATGCCGAGAGGGTTAAAAATTTGAAATTTATTTGAAAATATATATTTATATACCACTAATATATACCTCTATACCTCTAACCCACGCGGTATAAGGGTGAAAATAAATTAAATAATATACGGTTTAAGAAAAGCCTAAACCTAAAAGTTAAAAAAAAAATTCAAAAAAGTTAATCCTTTTCGTGATAATTAGTGTAACCACTTAAATGGATYACCCTATACTATTGCGCATAATATTCTGTCACATAGTCGTACGTGTTTTTTTTATTTTATTTTTATTCTCCTATTTTTCATTTCTTTAGGACATATTATAGCGCAATTTCAGCTATTTTTAGTACTATAAAATCCGATCTCTGCATATTAATGTTATAATTTTAAACTTAAATCAATCGTTAACCATTAGACTGCAGTTAAAACTGTTAGTCTCCTGTTTTACATGTATGATTTTCCTTTGAAAAATATCATCCAAATAAAACAATTTTTACGGTTAAATGTCAATAATAAAATAAAAATTTATCAAAGGCAATACATATTTATATCATAAGTATGTAGTCGTTAACGAGTTCCGATCAAACGTAAGAGTAAACTGTTTTCTGTTCGCCATAATACTGCAAATGTAAAATACAAGTTACAGTACCTACAAATATTAATAAAATAGTTTACTTTTTTAAATGGGATAGGTTTTTTTTAAATTRTAAGGAGGCGTGTTTCAAAAGTCAGATCTTTATTGTTCAAATACTTCAACAGAAATATATTTTCCTGCATTTTAAAAACAACGATATACCGTACGAGAACGGTAATAAAAAGCGTCTATATATATTATATATATTTTACTTTCTTATAGGAAGCTAAACACATCCGGATATCAAACTCTCKAGTATTTTTAATAAGTTTCTCGAAAAGTATGTGTTTAGTTTTCTACTTAAGTTTCATCCACCTTCGCATAGCTCACATCAATAGCACCGTGCACGTACATCAAGATATATACCAATCTCAAAGAAGTGCTCACAGTATGAAAGTTAAAATACAGGATTAAAGGGATTTTCACTCCTATATATTTCATATACATACAAATTAGGTACCTACTGTGATACTAAATTAGAATTTTTAACTTTATTTAATTAATATCGAAATGGATCAATAATAATAATAATAATAATATGGTACACTAATATTCTAATGTTTTTTTTATCAATCTTGATTGTCAAAATTGTTATTTATGTGTTACTATTACCTATCTGTGTATTCTTATTCTTCTTCTAATTTATATAAAAGAAAAGCTTTTTTTGGGTATCGCCTTTCTAACGACACACATTATTGAAATTGTTATGATCTTTTTTTCGAAGTTTTTTCAAATTCTCCTTCTGATGGCGCTAAGGTGCTCTGCTTTCATTTTGTATATGAAAAAGAGAGGGAAAGCCACACATTTAAGTTACATGTTTAGCAAGGCATTTGAATAATGTGCCTTTTTTGTTATACGGAGTCTTTGCAAATACCTCTATAGATGTCTAGTGTCAAATTTTTTTCACATTTATTGCCCTTTAAATATTATGTTTCTATAATTATACCTTCTCATTTTACTTCAATAAATTAAAAAGAAATCTATAAAATGACGTGTAATTTACATACTGTAGATTTTGTAATTGTAACTATATATCGGCACTTTATATTTTATTACTCCTAAAAGAATTGTAATTTAGCTCTTATATTGCTTAGTTATCCAATAAAATAAATAACAGTCAAGATGTCGCCCGCAAATAACCATTAAACCCCAATAAATGTATTTAATCACTGATGGAAGGAACAATCTGCATTGTTTGGTCACGTATAGGAACCTAGACGTAGTTGTGACAATGTGTCGTCACACGTTTGATCTATTTTGTGTGCCTGCGTGCCACCAGAGACAAGGGATGGCCCAATGAGGACCTCTGCTACCGATAACGGTAAATCTTTAGAAACGCAGAGGCCTTTGATGGAGCCGCCTGCGACCCTTGCTGGCTTGACCAAGTCGTCTCCTCTCATCAGTGCATGAGCGCCAGTCTTGAGTGCATGTGCACCTGTCATAAGTGCATGAGCACCACCCAACACTAAAACAACCTCAAGAGTGCAGGAGCACCTAAAAACTCTTCGACACCAGACATTGCGAGCAACAGCTGGACCGTTTCTTTTTTAAAATCGAAATTTAACAGTGTTGTTTTTCTTTAATCTGAGTGTTTGATAAAAAAACCTTTATTTATCTTATTGCGTCAACCGCATATCAAACACAGCTGCGAATAAGGTAAGGTGCATACGCATCAATATTCATATATTTATATAATTTTATATATTATATTGTATTTTATTAATTAATATTTTATTATTACGGTGTACTAGCTTGATCATTCTCGAATCACGACCTCGAGAACCCTCCGACAATCAGGAGGAAGGTAATAGCGCAATTTTAATATTTATATCTGGTAGCTTATTCTCCAGCTCTTATAGCAATACAGAGAACAATACAGATCCTTTAGTGTATCTCAATAAATCAACCAAACACCATTTTATTTCTAATATCTTTCACTAATTAATATAACTATTGGCAGGAGTCTTAGTTATATTTAATAGTTGTATTAACTCAGGTATTAGTTATATTATCTTTTATTATTTTATTATTTTTTTGCTATATTATTTATTTTCTTTATTTTTGCGTTATTACAATACCGTTAAAACTATAATTGCAGCCCGTTTTCAAGTTCTTAAAAAAATACATAATCTGAAATGTTGTTTTAATACCACAATTAGTATATAGGTACACATACCAGTCCACTATAA